TTTCCCTCCCAGGCTCTCTCCCGCCCTCCTGCCCTGGGCCCCTCTCCCAGCCCCACCCTGTGCCTGCCTGGGCCCTCACTTCCCCTCCAGCCTCCTCCCTTGCCCTTTCTCCATTGCTTGGTTCTTCATCCAGTCTCCCCCCTTCATGCACTTTTCCGTCTACTCCTTAGTCTGTGGGATGGACATCGACCTGGTGGGGAGAGAGTGCCCCCAGAGGGCAGTAGGCCTGTCACTGCCCCTGAAGACTGCTTGACCTAGCACCATGGAAACGTGCCCAGCCTGCCTTGCTCACCAGCTCCCCTGGCCCTAGTTCTGATTGCTGGCAGAGCTCTGCCTGGGTGAGGATTCACCTGGAACCCTTAAGGTCTTCCAGAAACATACCCCTTGGGCATCGCAAGCAGACTTTACCAGTGGCATCTCCTCCCCGTGCTCTTGTTGGAAAGCTCCCGTGTAGGGGCCTCTAAAGTGCCTTTCAAAGGTGTTCTCATTGACCCCACAACAGCGTGGTAAGTAGACATTATGAACCCCATTTCACAGAGGAGAAAACAGAGGCTCAGAGAGATTAAGAAATATGCTCAAGTCACATTGCCAAGAAGTGAATGAGCTGAAGTTAGTGCCCAGGTTTATTTGATTCCAAAGTTCTGGGCGCCTTTGGGATTCTCCAAACCCCCTGTGAGAAACTTCACTTTCCAGTGCTTTCAGTGCTCCTCTGGCAAGGACAGCACAGTGAGAACCACCCCAGCCTCGGGCCCAGGGCCTCCTGAAAGGATGGAGAAGGAAGGCCCTTGTGTGAGATTAACCTCCCCTTCCCCACTTCTGGGGTTTCCCTCAAGATGGTTCAGGACCAAGAAGGAAGCATCTCTGCCCTCCTTTGGGATCTCTTACCTCTGCCCTGGTTCTCCTAAATTTGTTTTAAGATCAATGATTGTTGCTTTTGCCCCAACTGCTCTCACCACGTGGAGGGACCAGCCTGCAGAGGAGACAGACTTCGGGGAACAGAGAACCGAGGGATGGTGCCCTCCTCAGTTTAGCTGGTGGACATCCAAGAGTGCTGCCTTGGAGATGGGTACATCCCAGGCTGGGGGAGGAGAGTCATGGCCAGTGCATGAAGTCTAAGCCATCCTGCCTGTGTGTGCCACCGACAAGCTACTCCTTGAGCCCTTGATGGGGGTGTGTTTTAGGGCACTCTGCAGTTGGAACCCTGGGTGAGCCCCGTTCTCAGCCCCACACAGCAGCACTGTGTCCAACGCACAGGGGCCTTGGGTAAGTGGAGAGGAAAGGGGCGGTGGATGAGGAGCACGGGGGAAGAAGTGGGAAGAGTGGGGCGGAGAGGATGCAGCAGACCCAGGTGAGACAGGCAGAGAGAGAAGTGGCCTACATGCCGAGGGAAGAAGCAAGGGAAACAGGTGTGGAAGGTAACCGAAAGGAAGTGCCTGGAAGGGGAGACAGAGCAGGAGGTACTGCAAAGAGAAGGAATCTGGGAGCTACTTCTTGGTTGTGTGACCTTAAGATCTCAGATTGCCCAGGGTGTTTCATCTGTAAAATGGGGATAATCACCATCCCTAACTCAGAGGGTTATTATAATACTTAAATAAGATAATGCATCTTAAGCACTCAATGGAAATCCTGACACACAGAAGAGTATTTTTAAAACCTGCTAATGCTCTTTCCTTCCATCTAAGATTTCTTCCTCCTCCTCCTTTGGACTTTCCTGGACCGAAAATGTGGTAGCCCCAGGGCATGTGGTGAGGGCTCTGGACACCTTGCCTCCTTCATACCGCTGCTTAGTAATAGGGGAATCCTATGAAAATGGCAGTGGCTGCAAGTTTTCCTAAACCTCCCAGCCTGTGACTTGCCAGGTTCTGTTCATTCCTCCTCTGCCTGCAACATCTCCTTAAACTATTCTTGCCTCTGTTCTCCTGATGGAAACCCTTTGGGTATCCGAGTGTGGGGAACAGTCCACCAAAGCTTTGACGCCAGAGACTTCACACCGGAGACAGCCCGTTTCCATCTACCTCTTCCACAGGCCACGTCACACTGTTCCTCAACTGTTGGAGTGGCTCCCTGGCCACCTTTTTTCCCCTTAGACTCTCCCCACCTCATTTCCCTACAATTTATCCTACACGGTATGTCAGTGTGAACAAAATCTTGCTCATAAACCTTCAGGGGCTTCCATTGCCCACTAAATTAGCTGCCAACACTGTACATCTTGCATGTTTTGTCTCACCTTGTAGTTACTGTGTACTAGTTCTATGGTCCTGGATAGATAGTAAATTCCTTCACAGCAAGATGTGACTGTTCATTCACTCGACAAATATTTATTGAGCACTTCCTCCGTGCTGGGCACTGTTCTAGATGCTGGGGATACATCAGATTACCAAACAAAAATCCTTGCCCTCAGGGAGCTTACATTCTACCAGGGGAGATAGGCAATAAACTATAAAAATTAGAATAAATAAATAAGTAAATTACATGGTTTCTTAGAAAATGAAATATGCTGAATTTTAATTACTTTGGGATTCACTCATGTACCTGCACATAAAAGTACTCAAGTAATTTTTAAAAATTGTGTTCGATTCAGTTTGGATAGGACAAAGTGCGGAGATTTTGGACTGTGAGGCTTGGTGCTGTTGGTGCTCTCAGGACAGGAAGGGCACAGGTCTTGAACCCTGAGGTTGAAGTAAGATGGAGCAGGTGCTAACCACCAGGCCTCTCCCAGAGTAGCTGGAGGTAAGTGCCAGGCCCAGGGCTCCAGTCTCCACCCAGATGGAGAAAGGCCCGGACTTCCTGGCTATCCCTGAGGAATCTGGGTCAGTTCTCCGACTTGGCCACCAGGGGTCATTTTACCCCTGTAAATCGCCATCTGGATCTCTCGCATAAAGGCACACACAAAAGGCTTACACCCAACTAAAACACATGGGAAAACACTGACACCCCCAATCTCATTCATTCTCTCTCTCTCTCTCTTTCTTTCTCTCACACACACACAGAAAACATACAATATTGAAAGACATAAGGACAGAAATGCTACAGGACGCACACATGGCAACAACTGCCTCACTCATGTACTAAAGTCAGGGTCTGAAGTTGTCATAGTGCCAACTCTGCCGCCCCTCCCAGCCTCCCTACTTGGGTAAGGAAGGAAGGAGCCGGCACCGTGGCTCCTGCCTGTAATCCTTACACTTTGGGAGGCCGAGGTGGAAGGATCAGGCCAGGAGTTCAAGATCAGCCTGAGCAACATAGGGAGTCCCCCTCTCTATGAAAGAATTTAAAAATCAGCTGGGTGTGGTGGCACATGTGGGTAGTCCCAGCTACTCAAGAGGCTGAGGCAGGAGGATCACTTGAGCCCAAGGAGTTCGAGGTTGCAGTGAGTTATGATCACACCACTGCCCTCCTCATGCCTGGCAACAGACCAAGACTCTGTCTCCAAGAAAATAAGAGGGGAAGGGAACAGTAGATGGGCCCATTTTTCCCTTGCCTCCAGCTTGCTAAGAACAGACACCCCACCCCAGTCTTCCCTTCTCACTCTTACTTCCTTGTAACTCCTCTCTCCTGACTGTGGCACAATTCCCTTTTCCCTTCCCAGAGAACCCCCCACCCCCCAACAAGTGTTTGTGTGATTTCTCCCCCTACCGCCCACCCCCAGGTTGCTCAGGTAAACCCCGGGTTGTGTTCCATTTGATGTACTACTACCCACTCCCAGAAAACCTCAAGCCATGAGGACCACCAGTAGCAACTCATTTGTTGAGCACTGTCTCCTCCCCAGTATTTTTTGTAACTGTTTATAATGCCCTGGGAAGAAGTTAGTTATGAACTCTAATACTTCAGTACAAGTATGGTTCTCAAAGTGTGATCCAGGGAGCAGCTCTTGGAGGAAGGCCATGAGGTCATAACTATTTTCATAATAGTACTACTGAGTCATTACTTGTCCTTTTCACTTTCATTCTCTCACAAGTATATGTGGACTTTTCCAGAGGTTTCACAAAGCATAATGACATGGCTCTCGTAGCTAATGGAATGTGTGCTTGAATATTTCCGTTTTAAAAATGTATTAACTTTAATTTCTGTAATAGTATGGTACATATCAAAAGCACAAGCAAATGCTCTTTGGGATCCTCAATTTCTAAGAGTGTAAAGGGGTCCGAAACCAAAAAGTTTTGAGAACCAGTGTTTTAGTGCAAAGGATTTTTTCCTTGCTCTGGACAAAGCAAACAGAGAATGAGAGAGAGAGAGAGAGAGAGAGAGAGCTAGAGGAGGAACATTAAGGACCTAGAATGGAAGAGGCCCTGAAAGTGGAGTGTGCTGTAAGAAGGGATGACCTGGAAAGTGGAACGCGACTGGGATTTGAGGGAGGAAACTCTAACTCACAGTTTTGCCTTGCCCCAACTACCCCATGTTGGGTGTCAGGTTTCAATTGCTACAAGTCACTAAACAAGAAATGCCGTTCTGTCCATAACAAACTCTTGCATTAGGGCTCAGTGCTGAGCAGGGGAAGCCTAGGTGGAAGATCGAGGTGGCTTCATCCATGACCCTAATGGGTTAGCACAGACAGAAGTCAGCAGATGAATGAGCTTCTCAGTAGCTTGGTCCAACAAGGCCTGGGACCATTCAGCTCCCGGACCTCTGTGGCAGGTCTAAATCTAGGATACTCATTTTCTGTTCCATCTATTAGCTTGTATCAGCATTTCATGCCCACCCCCACAGAAGCATTTCATCGTCTTCTGCCTCTGCATGGGCAGACTCACTGCATCACTGCCTACAGACTGCAGGGGGGTCCTCTGCGGGCTCACTGCCACCCCTTAAAGAAGCCATTCCTGGCAGCACTCTTCCTTCCCTATACCCGGCCTTCCACACTTTGTTCTCTGCTGCATTCATGAGCTGAAGTTCCCACCCAGAGGTTCAAGTGCCCAGCCCACCTCCCTTGTGTGCATGTCCTGCAAGCCCGCGAGAATGAAAAGCGCTGGGGTAGGGGGAGGATGGCGCTGTGTATGGCACGACGTGCCTTCAGAGGGCCAAATCTTAGGGGCACTGAGTGAAGGGTGTCCCGGTGTTGGAGGGTCGGAGCAGCCCCTGACTGGCGGCATCCGGCCCAGTGGCGTCAATAGTCTCAATGGGTCGTAGGGCGAGCTCGTGCGACTCCCGCGCCCCGTTGGTGACCAAGGTCCTGGCCTGGTGCAGAGTGCCCAGGCCACGCAGGGTGTTGCGGAAACCCTCGGCGCTGAAGTAGTACACCAGAGGGTCCAGCACGCAGTTGGCGCCGGCCAGCAGCACCATCACCATTAGCACCGCGCGCACCTGATCGCGGGCCGCGTGGCTCGCCACCACCAGCTTGCCCCGCAGGAGCCCGTAGACCGCCAGCGTGGCGTTGTAGGGCACGAAGCACAGCAAGAAGATGACGAGGCTGGCCAGCAGGAGGCGCACCGTCTTGCGCCGCCGCTGGCTCCGCGTGGCGTCGGGCCGCGCGAGCGTCCGGAAGACCCGGCCCGACGAGTAGACCACGGCCACCAGGGGCAGCAGGAAGCCCAGCGTCTCGGCCAGCAGCACGAGCGGCAGCAGCCTGCCCTTCCACAGCTCGTCGCTGAAGCTCTCGAAGCACAGGCGCACCTCGAGGCCCCGGTAGCTGCAGAGCGAGGGCCTGTGCACGTAGGCGATGGGCACGGCGAACACCAGGATGAGCGCCCACACGCCGAGGCAGAGCAGCCGCGCCACGCGGGGCTGCCGCAGGTGCCGCAGCCGCAGCGGGTGCACGATGGCGGCGTAGCGGTCCACGTTGATGAGCATCAGGAAGATGCAGCTGCCGTACATGTTCATCTGGAAGATGGCACCCGCCGTCTGGCACAGGAGGTCCGGGAGGGGCCAGTGGTGCAGTGCGTAGTAGGAGAGGCGCACGGGCAGCGAGAGGGTGAAGAGCAGGTCGCTGGCCGCCAGGTTGCACATGTACACGCTCACGACCGAGTGCACGCGCAGCGCGCGCAGGAAGACCCAGAGGGCCAGCGCATTGAGGGGGAGCCCGGCAGCCAGCACCAGGCTGTAGACCACCATGTGCAGGCGGTGGGTGGGCCGGTAGTCAGGACACTGGAGAACAGAGCTGTTGGTAGAAGAGGTATTGGCCGAGGAGTTAGCCAACATTGTGCCAAAGTGGGAGGGGGTGCTGCTAGGCTGACAACATCATGGGGCACACCAGGGTCAGGACATTGGGTTCACCTCCAGGGTAGAAGCCTGGTGCGTATACAGAGATGGTCCCAAAGCAAGCAGAGGCAGGGTATGGGAATGTGGGCTATGGCTGCAGGGAGAAACGGCTGCCAAGGATTGGGTGCCTTTGGTCACAGCTTCATCAGCAGTGGAGACCTGGAATAGGGGAGGCAAGCCAGAAGTCAAAGCTAGGCAGGGCCACAGACACAAATGTTTATCCAGCTAAAATGGCTGGTCCTGTGAGTCTTTTCTCAGCCTCAGGTCTTTCTGCTACCTTCCGTTGGGCCAGAATAGCTTCCTGCAGCAGGACTGTATAGGGAACCCAGACTGCTTAGGTTTAAATCCTGGGTTTTCCAACTTGCCTAGCTGTGTGACCTCAGAAAAGTTAATCTCTCTGAACCTCATTTTCCTTACCTGGTGTTGGGGGGGAATGAGAGGAGTTTCATGGTAGCCTTACTGCATGAGGTGATTTGGAGATTAAATAAGATGATGTATGTAAAATGCTTAGGTTGTTGTTATTATCTTATAAGATCTCTCTCACTCTCCGTTCTTCCCTTCCTTCCATACATACTGGGCCCATAGAAGGTTCCAGGCATGTTCACAGTAGTGAACAAAACAAAAAGGCAGGAGGATCGCTTGAGCCCAAGCATTCTAGGCCGTAGAGTGCTATGCCAATGGGGTGTTCACACTAAGTTTGGCATCAGTATGGTGACCTCCCAGGAGCGGGGGACCCCCACGTTGCCTAAGGAAGGGGTGAACCAGCCCTGGTCAGAAATGAAGCAGTTCAAAACTCCTGTGCTGATCAGCATTGGGATCTTGCCTCTGAATAGCCACTGCACTCCAGCCTCGGCAACATAGTGAGACCCTGGCTCTTCAAAAAAATTAAAATTAAGAAATAAGAAGGCTTTGCCTCCACCTACTTTACCGTCCAATGGAGGAAGACAGATAATAAAGAAGTGCAAATCAATAGGTAGTATGTCAGGTGGCGAGAAGTACTATAGAGCACCTCCCCTGGACCAGGTGCTAGGCTGGCTCCCCATTATCTAGAGTTCAAACTCCTGAGTACAGTATGAAATCCCAGCCTCACTTGTCGCATCCACCATTGCTCCTATGAGGACTGGATTTGTGGTCAGAGTCACCTGGATTCAGCTTAATGGTTTTACCTCTTTAACTCTCAGTTTCTTCATCTGTAAAATGGGAATAATAATGAGGCCCCTCCCATAGGCCGATGGCACACCAGCCGTGCCCAGAGCCACTTTAGGGTAAACTTGGCAGCCCAGTCTTGCTAGGCAGGGAGAGGCCCTGTGGGTTGAGCTTTTCCAGGTGCTCCCCAAGAGGGCCTAACTTCTCAGATGAGGTTCTATGGTAGAGGGGAGAGGGTATTAATAGTTTGGTAGTGAGGGCTCAAAGGGGACCTAAGCCCAAAGAGAGTGGAGGTGAGACAAGGAAGTATCCTTGGTGCTCACAAGGCCACCAGAGAGCAGACCACAGCAGCTTCAGTTCACAGGCAAAAGTTGGCCGACAAAGGACATGACCAAGAGGAAGAGGAGCCAGAGGACAGGATGTGGTCTGAGGATCCCACCTTCCTCAACCCCATAAGGCCACAGAAGCTACCCCTCCATCACAACCCCAGATGCTACTTTGTGTGTGTGAGATAAAATATACATAACTTAAAATTTATCATTTTAAGTGTACGATTCAGTGTCATTATGTACATTGACAATCTTGCATAATCATCACCACTATTTTCCAGAAATAGAACTTTTTCATCCTTCTGAACAACTCTATACTCATTAAGTAATAGTGACCACCCCACCCCCACCCCTAGCCACTGGTAACCTCTATTCTACTTTCTGTCTCTATGAATTTGCCTGTTCTAGATGCCTCATATGAGTGAAAGTGTATGATATTTGTCCTTTTTGTGTCTGGTTTATTGCACTTAGCATAACGTTTCCAAGGCCATCAATGTTGTATGTAGCATGTAACAGAGTTTCTTTCTTATGGCGGAATAACATATTCCATTGCATGTGTACACCACATTTGCTTATCCATTTCTCTCTCAGTGGACAGCTTGTGTTGTTTCCACCTTTTGGCTGTTGTGAACAATGCCACCATGGACATGGGTGTGTCTGGTTGTCATCTTAGGGAGAGAAAGTGTATGAGACCCTGAGCAATTATCCCAACATACTGAGCTTATTCTTTTCAAAAGGCACTGTTTAAATTGTTTAATGGAACTAAGTTGTAAACCTGACTATCACAGGTTTTCCTGTGGATATTTGTTCTCCCTCCAACCACCACCACCAGCAGCGGTTTGAGACTTGTAAGAGGTACAGTAAAGGAGTTAAAGGGAATAAAGAGTATTTCCTCTGCAAAATACAATCTTAACAACAAAAATCATGCCAAACAGGACTTAAACATGCTGAAAAGCAAATGAAACCAGACTTGTTTCCAGTATGCCCCCACCCCCACACTCCTTTGCTCGAATCACACCAAACTCATTTTGCATATACCTTATGTTTTCAGGACTCTGCCTTTGCCCGTGCTGTTTCTTCAACTTGGAATGCCCTTCCTCCCATTCTCCAACTGGCAAACCCAGTCATTCCTCTGGGCGCTGTGAAGCCTTGCCTGCCCCTCCCCCTGCAAGGCAGATTAGCGCCCTCACTGTGCTTTGAGGCAGTGGCAGGTTTAGCAGAGCTGTTCCTGCGTGTACGTGGTTAGCTGTTCTTGGTCTGCCCCGCCCATTGGACTGTGAGCTCCTTGAGGAAGGGGCTATGGACTGTGGCTTATTCATCTTTGTATCCCCAACACCTACCTCAATAAGTGTCGAGTGAAAAATAATAGCTATCATTTACTGATCAGTCACCATATCCCAGGACATTTTATATACATAATCCCTAATGCTTCCAACAGTCCTTTGAAGTAGGTGTTTATCCTCATTGTTACGGAAAAGGAAACACAAACTCAAGAGTTCCGCAAGAGGAGTAAAGTTACGATTCAGATCTAAGACTGCCCAGCCCCAAAGTCCAGGCTGTACCGTGTTGCTTCCAACAAGAGAGGACGGTTGGATATGTGGAAGGATGCTGGATAGAGAAGCTGGTCATTTACAGTTGCCTGTATGAAATCTGCCTGTACACAAATTATTTTACTTCCTCATTTGTCCAATTGAAATATATACTTTTTAACGACCCACTTTCTTCTTTCTCTCACTTTGAACACTGGTAATAGAAACTCATCTTTCTTTCACACATAAACACAAATATGCCTCCTTACTCTTTCCCCTTAAGTACTACTTAAGCACTTAGCTTGCTGCTTTGGACCTCTCAGTTATTTTATGTGTATTTGTTTCACTTCCGCAACTAGACGGTAAGATCCTGGGGTGGGGACCACACCCTGCAGACACTCACTCTTCAGTCTCTGCCTGGCAGGAAATCCACCTCCACCCCGCACCATGTTAGCCTGTCCTGGAATCCTGTGATACCTCTTGTACCAATCCAGTCAAGTCACTTAACCACTTCTCTTTTTTTTTAGAGGTGGTGTCTAGCTCTGATTCCCAGGCTGCAGTGCAGGGGTGTGATTGTAGCTCACTGCAACCTCAAACTCCTGGGTTTGAGTGATCCTCCTGCCTCAGCTTCCCGAGTAGCTGGGACTACCGGTGTGCACCACCACACCTGACTAATTTTAAAATTTTTTTTAGAGATGGGGTCTCACTGTGTTGCCCAGGCTTGTCTTGAACTCCTGGCCTCAAGTAATCCTCCCACCTCAGTCTCTCAAAGTGCTAGGATTATAGGCATGAGTCACCTCGCCTGGCTCCTAACCACTTCTTATCACACTCCTGACCATCTTGTCCACATGTATAACTTGCTTAGTAAAAGATCATATCCCTTAAAAGGCCTGTTTGGAAACGGCTTGTGTTAAAGTATCAGTAACAGTTTACACTATAATTGCAGTAACATTTTATCGTTCTTTTTTTTTTTTTTTGAGACAGAGTCTCACTGTGTTGCCCGGGCTAGAGTGCCGTGGCGTCATCCTAGCTCACAGCAACCTCAAACTCCTGGGCTCAAGCGATCCTCCTGCCTCAGCCTCCCAAGTAGCTGGGACTACAGGCATGTGCCACCATGCCCGGCTAATTTTTTCTATATATTTTTAGTTGTCCAATTAATTTCTTTCTATTTTTGGTAGAGACGGGGTCTCGCTCTTGCTCAGGCTGGTTTCGAACTCCTGAACTCAAACAATCCGCCCGCCTCGGCCTCCCAGAGAGCTAGGATTACAGGCATGAGCCACCGCGCCCGGCCCCACTTTATCATTCTTAACCATTACTTGGAGAACCAGTAGTTCCTTACAATTAGGAAGCACATATTAGACACTCAGTGAATGGATTATTTTTCAAGAATGCCAAGTCTATCTGTTAAAAAAGTTACAATGTTAAACAGACCAAAATGTGTTAATTGAGCTGTTTCCTAAAGGTAAAGTTAAGAATCCTTTAGTAAAGGAAATGGCAGTGCTCTCATTACTCTACTCCAATGGGGAGAAGTCCTTGGGTCTCTTTACAGCGGAGCCTATTTGTCACAAATCCACCTCTTTCTGAAAGAGTCACACAGCATGGCCTGCACTAGGCACCGAGAGCTGCCAGGCCCCTGCCCTGGCCCCAGCCCACTCCCCTGCCTCCCGAGCCCTGGGGCTCCGGTCAGTGGAGCTGAATGGCATAGTGCCAGGCCAGATGGCAAAGACGGGGAAAAGCTGCCAAAAAAAGGAGGCAAACAGGAAATGGAAGGAGGGATCCAGATGTGGGGGAGGAGCAGTCCAGACCCTCTCCCCTAACCCTGCCTTGAAGAAGAGGTCAGGTTGTGGGGAGAAATGCAGGAATCAAAGAAACAGCAGCTGCCGCAGAAAAGAAGGGACACGAGGAAGGAGGGACATGGAGGTCCACACTGGCTCAGTCACATCAGCTCATACTGATGTGGCCACAGTAGGCATCGCACCACATGCACGAGCGTGCACAGACACACAGAAGTATGTGCCCGCTGAGATACGTGTACACAAGAGCCCTAGTAACATACAAATCAGTGCGGATACACACCCTGTAATATATTACTGGTAATATAAGTACGTGCACAGCCAATCGGGCCAGAGGAGGAAGAGAAGACACAGGCTCTGCGTTAGGGACAATATCCTTAAACAGCAGGCACGTAGAATCAGGCAGCTTCACAAGCACATACCCACGTCGATGTGCGCAAACAGAGCTTAACCCCAAGGCACTGAGGGGCAAAGAAAGCACCACACACGTGGATGCCCCAGGACTGCTCCTTCCATGTAACCCACCCCCTGACATCACTCACGCAGCACAGCATGTGCGCCAACCATCCTGCTTCCTGTGTCTCTGTCCTTCAGCTTCCCATGTGTACATCCGGGGCCAGGTCCTTACCTCTCAGCACCTCTGGGACCTGCCCCATTGCCCTCTGAGCTGGGCTGGGCACTGCTCTTTGCTGAGATAAGCCAGAGGGGCAGGACTATTTTCTGCCACAGGCAGGAAGTAAGAATCAGGGTGTAAAAGCGGGCAGGCAGCTAGATCGTGGTCATCCCCTCACTTCTCCGTGCTCCTCCCGCCTTGCCCCCACACACGCACCACGTGCCTCGCTCTCTTTGCCTCCTCTTCCAAATAACTCGCATCCTCCTGTGTTCTCTGACCCTGATTCCCAGGGTCAGAAGTTTGAAAAGAAGGACCCTCTGATGTCCCACCATCCTTGCCCCTGAAGATCCGCTCTGGAATAGCCCCACCCTCATTTTAGATTTTCATGGCCCATCTGTGCCCCAGCCCCGACAGAGGAAAGACCCCTTAGTGGGTGCTCTAGCCCACAGCTAAATGAGCTGAGCCCACTTCCTCTGCTTCTGGGTTCAGGCAACATCGAGGGGATGCACCTTTCCCCACACGCAGGCTTAGTCAGGAACACTCCTCAAAACCCAAACATTCAGTCTCCCCGAAAGGATCCCGGCTGTGCTGAGCCTCCAGCAGAAGCTTAACTCAGTCTAAAGGCTTTGTGCAAAGCTCTGTCCCAGAGCTGCTTTGGGGACACAGATGAACCCTGTTCCTCAGCTTATCCTGGATCTGAGGGGCAAGGATGAGATGGGAGGTGTGTGGTGTGGACACAGTATGGCGTCGCCAAGGTGAGGGGGCCTCCTTCTGCCCCAGGTGCCATGCTCTTCTCCAAAAGGAGTCCCCGGTGAGGGACACGGTGTTGTTGTCCGGTCTTGTCTTCCCTCCCCCTCTGGTCCAGGCCTGCCTGCTTCTCCAGCCAAAATTCCTGCTCCAGCCTCTCCCGCATCGTTCCCCACCTTAGCCTGTCTCTTCCTGCATTTCCAACATTGTCCTCAGCTGTGTCTTCTCCCTCCCTGGGTACTCTGACCTCATTCCTCCTGATATTTTTCCAGGAAAAGGCAAAACGCAAAGGTGGCCTACAGCTCAATAACTAGTTTCCCGGATGTGCGGATGACACCTTGACACTTGTACGTCACCCTCCACCCTGCTTTCAAAAGCTAGACAAACAGGAAATAAAGGCCCGACTAAGAGAGGCCACTGAGACAGGCCTAGCCCTCCCCACTGACCGGTGCCCTGAGGTGGTCTGCCACGCCTGACCCTTGCCTTTAGCCGTGGCAGGTCCTGCCTTCTCAGGGAAATCTCCTGGATGGCCGGGCACCTGCTGGGGCTCACTCTGTAATCCCAGCACTTTGGGAGGCTAAGGCAGGAGGATGGTTTGAGGCCAGGAGTTTGAGACCAGACTGGGCAACATAGCAAGACTCCATCTCTAAAAAAAATTTTTCAAAATGGCAGGCGTGGTAGCATACACCTGTAGTCCCAACTACTCGGGAGGCTGAGGTGGATGGCTTGAGCCCAGGAGTTTAAGGCTACAATGAGCTATGATCGCACCACTGTACTCCAGCCTCAGTGACAGAGTGAGCCCCTATCTCTAAAAAATAAAAATGACAAAAAAAAAAAAAAAACGCCTGGAGTCTGTTGGCCTCCTGGACCTCACTTGAACTTAGTACGCATTGATGTCAGCCCTCACTCTTTCTGCTAGCCCGCTCCTCCTGGGCTTGTTTTAATGCCCCTGGGCATGGAAGGTCTCTGTGTCGGTGAGGTATTCGCTGGGGGTGGCAGGGTAGGGAAAGCCATGGAGCTGGGCTCTCCTGCCTCTGGGTGGCCGGGAGGCAAGTCTTACACATACAAGTAAGTTCGTCTCCCCTCAAACCCTGTCCCCATCTCCTCTCAGGGCTACAACTTCAGCTCACCCTACAAGGAGGGATTCTGGAGATACAATTTGGTGGGGGTCCCCTTTTCGTCATGGAGGCCCCACACAGGTAATAGGTAGGCAGCCACCCTCATGGCGTGATGCAAAAGTGTCATAAAGCCCTACTGGCCCCCAGATACTTCCCCCACCTGTGCCCAATATCTGAGATTCCGTCCCCTCAAGCCGCTCCCGAGCCACGTTCTATCAGAGCTCTTAGGGGCATCAGAGACCATTCGTCCAATCCCCTTATATAGATGCATTCTTTGGGTTAAGGCAGTGCCCTTGAAGACCCCATCACATACACCTTAGCTAGCTGGCAAGGATGACAACGGGAACACATCTGTGCCAGTGAGCCATTAGCCAGTTTAATCAGATTAGCTCATTGTCATCTGCAGAGGGCCCGGTCTAGGGGATGAGGGTGGGGGGGTTGAGGTTTAATTAGGAGTTAGAAAAGGAGGAAACAGTCCCCAGAGGGCCCCTCTTGGGAGGACCAGGGCTCAGCATGACAGTGGGGGCCTAAACGGGGAGTGGGGAGACACAACCTCTGTGAGATGCCCCAGAGTGGGCCTTGAAGCTTCAGAGGTGCACGCAGGGGTGTGCCAGGCATGCTGGCTGCCTCTTTCAGTTCAGTCTGCAAAGGTCTGTCTGCCTGAGGCAGCTCCTTCTGGCTTTTTACTCTATTCAGAAAGGTTTTCCAGGGCTGCCACCCACCCTCCTCCGCATCCCACCCAGGTCCCCCAGTTTCCACAGGAGGGGTGCTGCCCCCTGCACACCTGTGCAGTCAGCCCTACTTGGACACCCCCATACCTGTGCTCCCCGCCGCTGTGCCACTTCCCCAAGCCGGCTTCCACTGCCTGTTCTGTCCGGGCTTGGCTGGGCTGGTAGGAACTGCTCCTGGGTCAGGTGGGGACACACCCACCTCCGCAGATCTCAGCACATCCCTCCCTGCTCCTTGTACTCACCCTACCCCACACGGGCCAAGGAGAGGGAGAAGAGGAAGCATTGCCCTCAGAGGCCTTTGCAGACTGGCCAAAGAAGAAACTCCAGCAGCTGAGAACTTAATCCAGTCCCGACTCTTGCCAACTAATAACTCCCCCCACCCAGCGCTCACACGCTCCCACAGTTTCCGGGAACTGTCACGGGCACACCCACCTGCCGGTGCCAGATGACTAACCCACCAGCCTCCCATCATCCTCTTCAGTTGCCGCTGGGTGTCTGTCTTCCTCTCCTGGGTCTGCAAGGTGCTTTGGCCCCTGCCACTCAGGGCTGGCACCTCGCCCTGCCCAGGGTCCCTTTGCGTGCTGGCGTTGTGCCAGGCCCTGCCACCCTGCCCAGCACACACAGCCCCTCCATCACAGCACTCGCCAGGCTGCACGGTTCCCCTTTGCCGGAGTCCGTTTCCCCTCAGCCCCTTGGCTCTGTATGCACAGGCTGAGCACAGGGCTGGGCATGTTGTCCATGAACAAAAACAAGTTCCGGTTTTGGGGTGGTAGGTGAAAAAGGCATTATGGTGAAATGAGTTTGGAAAATACTAGGTTAAACAAGTTCCTCTGTTACAGAACTTTGCAGAGCCTTTAACATGCGCCGGAACGATAGGCCACGTGCTGATAAAGCAGTGGGTGAAGGTGCACGGAGATGTGTTATACTATTCTATTTTGTGCGTGTTTGAACTTTTCCACAATAAACCATGTTTTCAAACTGCTGTTAATTACCATGACCCTACAGCAGGAGGGAGGACTCTACTGTGTCCCCAAAACACACTTCGGAAGATTTCAAATTATTAAAGGCCAATGCTGGAGTCACACCTCAATGTATGTTATCAAGATGCAACCAGTTCAACATTCAGATCATCTGGCAAATTCCTGTAGTCAAATCAAGGGTTTTCCTGAGCTCCAGACTGTAGTTTCTGGTTTCCTCCCTCCCGATGAAGTGCAAAGTATGTCGTATTCTACAGGTTTGGTCTCCCTGGACAAGATCTCAGTCAGGCTCTGGCCTTTATCCTATGGAGAGGCAATCCTACACCCCCATCTGACGGGGCCCAGGGCTTCAGAAACAAAGACACACATGTCCTCCTGGCCCACATCATCCAAGACCCCAGCCATGACCTTCTTCAATCCACTTCCCTCAGTTTTTGGGTTTTTTTTTTTTTTTTGAGATATGGTCTTACTGTTGCCCAGGCTGGAGTGCAGTGGCACGAACATAGCTCACTGCAGCCTTGAACTCCTGGGCTCAAGTGATCCTCCCACCTCAGACTCCTGCGTAGCTGGGACTACAGATGCATACCACCATGCCCAGCTAATTTTTAGTTTCTGTGTTTTTTTTCGTAGGGACAGAGTCTCACTATGTTGCCCAGGCTGGTCTCAAATTCCTGGCCACAGGCCATCCTCCCGTCTCGGCCCACAGGGCTGGGATTACAGGTGGGAGCCACCATGCCCGGCCTGACCTCCCTGAGTTCTTAGTTCTTCTGCTTCTCCTGGCAGACTGTCGCTTCCCAGAGCACCATTGCCATTCGGTTCTCTCACCTGCATATGGATCCGTACAACCAGAGGGTGGGGGTTGATCCCATGGGGCAGGGTGGCAGAGCTGAGGATGGGAATCATAACTAAAATAGGCCACGCAGGCTTAAAATAAACACTTTATATAAAGACATCCTTTAAGAAGGTGCGGCTCCCAGGATGGCCCTCTATGGGACTGTTGCCCCCACCCAAGGACAACATGAGTAGGGGCCAGGTCAGAGACCTCTGGGCGCAGCCTGGGAGCAGACTGACAGCTAGGATCTGAAAGCGTGGAGAATGTGGGGCAGGGGTGGGGACAGAATGGACCCCGGCTCATCCGAATTGGCCTAGAGTCAAGGTGCTGAACTCCTGGCTCCAGCGAAGCACGATGTCCTCACTTTTGCCAGAGCTCAACACACTGTAAGTCTCGTTCTGCAGACATCTCATGCGGGACACCTACACGGGGATTCAGTGCATAGTGTGTGTCACGGAGCCAGGCACCAGGAGTGGGGAGGTGGGAGGTGTCAGAAGCTCCACAAGAGCCCAAGGTGGGCAGGCAGGGGCCCTGGGCAGCAGAGGGAAGGAGGAAGCTCAGATGTCACCAAGCAGCCCAGCCCCCTTCCTTCAGAAACGGGGAGGCTAAGGCTGAGAGCAGGAAGAGCCTCATCCCAGGCTGCTTGGCGAGTAAGAACAGGAAGCAAGACCGAGACCTCAGTGTCCACTCCCAGCCCAGCCGAGGGCTCTTCAGGGTGCTCTCAGGGCCTTCCCCTCCTATCTGTGGCGCACCGCCCCCCCCGCCTGCCCGGGAGGGCCTTGCTGGGCCTGGAGGAGTGGAGGAGAGGATGCTGATGGAGGCCTGTGCCCCAGAGACGCAGGTAGAGAAGTGCTCTCCTCATCCCAGCTGCCGCCCGGGGGCTCAGAATACACCAACCCCCGTGACTGATGGAGAGGCTGGCGGGGGAAGAAGGGGGCAGCGTGGGGGGCTCACCTTCCGATTTCGGTTCCTCATCAGACACTGCTGGCTTTTGAAGGAACAGTAGTTCGGGTACTGGATATAGTCTGTGTCACAAATCTAAGCCAGGAGCCAGGGAGGGGGAGGAGAGGGTATCAGAAGCTTCATAAGACACCAGCGCTCCAGAGAGTATCTGCGAGGGCAGAACCGGCGCCAGGGGCATGGCCCTGAGCACCAGGCCCGCCACACCCGTGTGCTCCCTCACCTCTGCCCTTCTCCCACCTCCAGGCGCAGGCTGCTGGGAAGAAGCCAGGAGCCTGGGAGAATGAGAAGAGGCTGCCCTGCCGCTCAGCTTGCTGGGAAAGAGACTGTGGAACGGGAGCAGACGGGGGATGGTTAAGGGTCCAGAACATGGGAGGGGACCCAGTTAGTGGTCCAACGGCAAGGATCCTTCTGGCGACGGCAAGTGAGGGAGAGGGTAGAAGAATCTCTAATATGAGACAGGGGTGAATCACTTCCCTCTTTGTACTTTCTTCCCCGTCTATAAATCCAGCGGGCAGCTGAGCTGATCTCTGAGACCTCTTCCGGGTCTAGAGGTCCAGGGACAAGAGCTGGACACAGGCCCCTCAGCTCAGCTCCCAGCCCTCTTCTTTCTTTTTGTCTCACTCTGTTGCCCAGGCTGGGGTGCAGGGCCTCATCATAGCTCACTGCAACCTCAAACTCCTGGGCTCCAGCGATCCTCCTTCCTCAGCTTCCCGAGTAGCTGGGACTACAGGTGTGCATCACCACACCTGGCTAATTCTTCTATTTTTTGTAGAGACGGAGTCTCACTATGTTGCTCAGGCGGGTCTTGAACTCCTGGCCTCAAGCGGTCCTCCCACAATGCTGGATTACAGGTGTGAGCCACCACGCCCAGCCTCTCAGCCCTTTCTTAAGCAGCCCCTACTTTTCTTTGCCCTAGTTTTCCCTGCTAACCCACAGAAGGGAGAGGCCTGACTCTCAGCAACTACAGATCACCCCACAGACGAGGTGACTTTGGGGAGAGGGGGCACCCAGTTCATTTCATTGAGCGGGGAAAGTACTGGGAGAGCTGGGGAAGGAGCCCTTCAGACTGAGGCAGGCGAGTAACGGATCACAGGGATGGGGAACACTTGGCACATCACCTCGTCTTTTACTGCAGAGATAAATCTAGCTTCGGTCCAGAGGGGGAAGTCACTGACCAAAGCCACTCAACAAGTGTGAGACAGAGTAGCAAATGTGCGAAGCCACGCTTGGTCATCTCTGCTCTGTGATGACGGGCAGCTCTCCGAGAGATGCTTTGAAGACAACACAGGATGGAGCACATGGCTCCCCACATCTCTTGCCTGAGTCACTACGTTCCTTAAAAGATAAACGACACTAGGCCCTGCCTCTTCCTATGCAAATGATCACATGTGATGGGGTTAGTGATTACGTCTCTGTAATCTATCACGAGGTGTACTCTTGTGCCAAAGCTTGGATGCGATTTTGCAGGTACCGAAGTGCCACCACCTATACGTGAGTGGTGGGCTGGAATACCGGGCCGGAGCAGTCTGATACAACCTCTCTAAAGGTGTTCTCTCGGGATGTAGCCCTCAGTAAAACTTCTGAATAAAATTAACTTTACTTCTTTAAAAGCTTGATTTTTTTTCTTCAGTCAACACAAGTAACTGCCAGAGCTGGGACCAGAACCTCTGTCTCCTGCCTCCCATCCCCTGCCTTCCAGTCCCGCGCTTTCTCCCCACTCCGCGTTCCCATTGCTTTGCCAGATGTGATCCCATTCTGTGTGTGGGGGGGGGGTGCGACGGTCTGTCGGAGACAGGCAGGGGGTTCAGCAAGGACAGGCGCCCCCTTCCACCTCCTAGGGCCACCTAAAGCAAGGCACGGGGAGGGCCTGGGGTGGCGGTGGCAGGGCCAAGCCCGCGGAAAGGCTCTGACCTTGGTGGGGAAATCTCCGTCCTGGAAGCTAAGGAACTCGGTCTGGAGCCAGCCAGAGACCCGATCGTCTTCACAGCCCTTCGTGGCAAGCCGGGCGCACCAGAAGTCCATGCGGAGCCCACCGTACAAATCCAGCCCGTAAAAGCGGCCCATTTCCATGTGCCCTACCTGTGGCACAGGAGACGGGGGAAGTGCACACCCGCCCCCCACGGGCCTCCCAGTTCTGCCTCCTCACCGCAGGCCGTGCAGCCCGTACCTGGGTGCCGATGGACAGGCTCTGGGAGGTGAGCAAGGGGCTGACAAAAGGCGTCCTGTGGGAGTTGTCGCACGGCTGCCGCTGCAGGTTGGCCTCGGAGCGGCACTGCTCCAGCTTCAGGGAGCAGAAGTCGCAGAGGGCGCAGGTAGATGTGTGTCGCCGCCCAAGGTTGTCACAGACCTGAGGCAGGATTGCGGGTGAGGCTGAGACTCCGAGGCCTGCCCTCTCCCACGCCTCAGCTCTCCAGAGCGGGCCTGGCAGGACGTCTTCGCATTAAGCCTCTTCCGAAAGCTTCTCTGGCTTTTCCCTCCGCCTCCCTCCCGAAGGGTTCCTCAAAGACCTTGCCTGGCTCTCTGTTCCTTCGCCCTCTTCCTGGATGATTTATCTACTCCTAGGTCATTGTCATCTATCTGCAGGTGACACCCAAATCTTTATCGCCATCTCTGGTCTCTTTTCTGAGCTCCAAATCCTCATTCTCAACTGCCTGACAGAAAATACACCGCTGGGTGACCCACAATCACCCCTAACTTAGCCTCCCTGAAAAGAAGTCATAACCCTCCCCCTTCTCAATCTCTGCCAGTGATAATGCTAATATTTACAAAGAGGTAACATAGGGCTGGCTCCATGGCTATAAATGCTGTCATCTCATTTAGCCTTCACACGAACCCCATAATAGCATAGATACTAACAATATCCCCATTTACTGACGAGGACACTGAGGCCAGTGAGGTTGAGTAAGTTGCTCAAAGCCACATGCCTAACAGATGGTGACACCGGGACACGGATCCAGGTCCTTGTAACTCTAAAACTGACGCTCTACCCAAGCACCTGGGTTCGAAAGCGCCAAGCTCTTGGAAGATATTCTTCAGAGTGGAGTCTCCGCCTCCGTGCTGGACTCTGCCCTGACGGAGCTTCCTCAGCACTAGCTGGAGGAGCGTGCTAAGCAGCATCTTCAGTCAATGCTGCCTGCTGTCACAGTGCGTGAAATTTCCTTTTTTTTCACCCAGGCTGGAGTGCAGCAGTGGCATGATCACTGCTGTAACCTCCAACTCCTGGGTTCAGGTGATCCTCCTGTCTTGGCCTCCTGAATAGCTGGGTCTACAGGTGTGCACAACCACGCCCAGCTAACTTGTTGTAGAGATGGGGTCTTGCTATGTTGCCCAGGCTGGTTTTGAACTCCCGGCCTCAAGTGATCCTCCTGCCTTTCTCAAAGTGCCTGCGTGAGATCTCTTACCTACCCTTGCTTGTTCCTCCCAGCAGCACATAAGGGGGGCATTATCATGTCCCTGACCAAAAATCTCTAGTGACTTCCTCTGTCCTATCAAATTAAATATAAATGCTTGAGACTTCCATTCAAGATTTTCACATTTTGACCCTATCTCTTTGACTCTGTCCTCTGCTGGTCTGCTCGAGGTAAAATGGACTCCTTACTATCCCCGTATCCAAGCCATAAAATCCAGGGGGCTCTCTCCATGACCCCTGAACTTCTTACACCTTTTTACAAACCTTTTCCCCGGCCCTTCCCCCCTTCTTTTCTTACCATTCTTTTTTCGGGTTTACCCCCTCATGGGCTCTGGGCCCCTTAAGGGCAGAAACAGTATGCTCATTCTTAGTGCCTCATGAAATTTCTGCTCCTCTCTGCCTCAGAGCCTTTGCACATATTATTCCTTCTACCAGAAGCCTTCTACCAGGCCCCTTCTTTTGCCTAGCTAGCTTCCTTTTTCTTCAGGTCTCAGTTTAAACATCAGTTCCTCTCACAAGCATTCTCTAATCCTCCCAAACGCGGAGAGTTGTCCCCCCACCCCATCTGCCCTCTCTGTGCTTTGTGTTTATCCGTTACATGCCGATCCCATCACAGTGTCCTGCATATTTCCTTGTCTCTCTACCCCACTGGATTCCAAGAGGACAGAGGACTGGACCTACTGTATGCACTACTAACATCTCAAATACCCAGTAAAGGGTTGGTGCCCCCCAAATCAGTATTTGTTGAACAAATGGGCGAATGGATGGCATATGAGCTCTCAACAAATGTTTGCTACATTGCATTATTTGAAAGTTCGTAGTATGTTTTCCTGAGAATAGACTTGCTGGGTGTTGAGGATACACTGAGACAGGGATCTCTTTATGGATTCCCTGGAATGGATTCTATGAAAGGAGGAGAGCTGCGCCTAAGGCAAAGCTAGGTACTGAAGACGGTGAACGGATCAAAGGGTGACTCAAAGCCTGACAACTCAGAGAGGAAAACAATGAATTCCAGACTGGACTGGATTCCAGACTAGGTCTTGAGCCTTCCTCCTTTAAAGTGGGCCGGAGATACCTTCCAAAGAAGAAAGTTCCATGGAGAGACTCTCTCCAACTATGCCTCATGTTTTCCCTGCCCACCCCCCAGAGGATGCCCAGTGGCACGTATCCATCAAACAGTACGGCAGGCATACCGACTTCCCGAAACCAAGGATCTCCTCCTCCATGTACTTCCAGGCCTTGGCGGTGGGGGTGATGATGCAGGTGTTCTCCACAATTGAATAGCACAGCACCAGCAAGGCCTCCGTGTGGGGCAGCTGCAGGAGGCTGCAAGAAGACAGCACTGACTGTGGGGATGGGCCGGCCAGCCAGCTGGGCAGAAAGCCATGCCTACTCTCTTCCCTCCCCTTAGCATCTGGTCTTGGTCACACACATACAGCATGCTCAGCGTGGGGCCTTAGAAGCCTTTGGACCAATTGCTTCCTTTTACAAATGAGGAACTGGGGTCCAGAAAGGAGAAATGACTTTGTCAAGGCTGCGGTACTAATAAGGGCAGAGACAAGATCAGAACCCACGCCTGATGGCTCCACGGACAGGGCTCACTCCACTACATCGCACAGTGATGAGCATGTCGGGCAGCACTTCAGGCCAGTGACGGGCACAGAGTGGCTCAGGCAGACAGTTGCTAGCTGTGCCGGAAGCCCCAGCAGGTCTGCGCAGGTCTGCAGGCTGAAGCTGGGAGAGTGGGCTTCTCATTCCCAAAGACAGCCACAGGGAGGGCAGGGCCGGTGAGGGAGTCAGAACTTCCTCTACCTGCCAGGGTTTTGATTTCTCCAGTAGGGTTCCTCATCGTATATTTCATTCATTTCATCCATTTCCTGCGCTGATCGGATGAGCTCCTGGATGTTCTCCATCATCATGGGAGTAGACTCCACTTCTCGTACCCGGGGAGTGAAAGAGGAAGGGTTAGAAGATTCAGATTGGAACTTGGGCTCTGCATCTGTCTGCACCGCAGACATCGCCTCCTCTGCAGACAGGCCCTCCTCTGTCCCCTGTCCTTCTTCCTGCTTTCCCTCCTCCTCCTGCTCCTCCTCTTGCTCTTCTTGTTCCTGCCCCTCCTCCTGCTTATGTTCTTGCGGCTGCTCCTGCTTGTGCTCCACTCCTTGGTCCTGCTTGCGATCTGTGACTTGCTCCTGGCCTCCCAGGGACAAGGAGGATTGCAGGAGCTCCTCCACGTTGTTGTTAAGCCGCTCAGGCCAGGGTGGGAAGACCTGTCGTTCTGTGACTGCAGCAGGGTTTGGGAGGGATGGAGAAAGAAAAGGGAAAGAGATGATCGGGCTTTTGGCCTGTGAGAGTCTGTTCACAGAGGGACACACGCATAAACACAAAGGCAGAAGAAAGCAGACCAAATGACACTTATACACATGGTTAAGGAGAAAAAACACAGAAAATATAAATATTAAAATAAAAGGGCATTCCCATGGCAATTGTGGTGTTGGTCACATGTGTCACCTGCCCACCTCCCTGGCAAGTGCTCCTCTTGCCTAACTCCCACCTGGAATACCACCTTTTGTCCCTTTCCCGTAGGAAACACCAAGTGTTCTGAGTAGCTAGCAACTAATTCTTGCTAAAGCGAAAATGTCAGTTATAAAAGTCCCAGAAGCCATCCAATGCAGGAATGTCTTTGGAGCTAGGAAAAATGGATTCAGGGCAGAATTATAAATCATGGCGGAAGAGATTCTGGTCCAGGAGGGCCCTAACATGTATTAATAAAAAAGCAGACTCTTGGCTGGTTGCTGTGGCTCAATCCTGTAATCCCAGCACTTTGGGAGGTTGAGGAGGGAGAATCATTTGAGGCTAGGAGTTTGAGACAGCCAGGGTAACGTAGTGAGACCTCATCTCTACAAAATATTAAAAAATTAGCTGGGCATGTTGGTGCACACCTGTGGTCCCAGCTACTCAGGAGGCCAAGGCAGGAGGATTGCTTGAGCCCAGGAGTTCAAGGCTGCAATGAGCTATGATGATGCCACTGCACTCTAGCCTGGGTGACGGAGCGAGACCCCGTCTCAAAAACACAAAAAATGAACTCTCCCTTCCATAAATGGCTATTAGTGCCCCCTTCCCACCCACATGCTTCCCATTTCCCTACCATGGATGCCTTACATCCTGGGCTCTGGGAATCATGGAAGGAGTAGCTGGTGGTCTCCCAGGCACTGTGAGGGTCTCACCTGTGAAGCGGGGTGAGATGGGGGAGGTCATCGTGGTGGGCGAGACTTCGGCAAGAGCTTCCACCTCCTTGAGAGTGTTAGGTGAGAGAATAGAGACTGGCTGGGAGCACCGGACCCTCTGCAGGGAGAGAAGGAAAATGGGGACACCTTTCCCAAAGGGAGATTCAGCTCCTGCTGATTCCTCAGCCGCTTCTCCAGCATGTCTCATCTCTCACAGTCCTGGGCAGGGATAAAGGGACATGTTCCTTGCTGGGACCCTCTAGACCTGAGGCAGGGTCCCTCTCTGGAAGACAAAACTCTGTCTGGCGCCACGGCACTCACTCTAGCCTGGGCAATACAGTGAGACTCTGTCTCAAAAAAAAAAAAAAAAAAACTCTGTCTCAAAAAAAAAAAAAAAAAAAACTCTGTCTGGGCCACACCCCTGCCATCACTCTTTTGCATTGGACTTGGAAATTACTGACCTGTTAGGATAAATGGAAGGGCTTGTCTCTTTGCCTCTTCCCATCCCTCATCCCTACTTTTCTTGCAGTAGCAGGATTGTAATCCGAATGCCCAAGGTGAGACTGTATTCCTATAAATTTGGGTAAATGACTGGCAAACGGCAGGGAAGGAGGATCTAAGGATGGCCCTCCTGGAGCTCTTCCTCGACTCCCCACTGCCACTGCCTCTGCCTTGGCCCTGGGACACCAGATCCAACCTTCGGCCTGGGCCTCACCTTGGCATAGTAGACGTGGTTGGAGCAACGATACTGAGTAAACTGGCAGAAGGACTCAAACCAGGAGGCATAAGGAAGGTCGGAGCAGACAGCACCTGAGGAAGGGTGGGGTGGAGAAGATGAGCACACAAGGAGAACTGGGGAGGGGCAGTGGCTCCTTGGTATCCCCAGCGGAGAACATGGGCTCAGGGTGAGGTGCCTGCATATGCTTCCGTGTCTCACATGAGCACAGGGCTTTTGCCCTGAGGTTTGGGTGCGCAACCTGGGTGCCTCAGTTTCCCCACTAGTCTGGCCCTCACCGTCGGGCACCAAGCCATGGTTTTCATATTGATCCAGCTGGACGAGGGTGGGGTTCCTGCAGCCGTGGGTTGCCCGGAGGCGGCAGGTAGTCTCGGCCTTCCAGGTTGGGGTCAGCAGTGCGAAGAAGCGTTCGTACTCGGTGGGAGAGAGAGGGCTGCCTGGAGTGGAGGCCGAAGTCGAATCCTGGGCCGGGGCAGGCGTCAGAGGCAGGAGTAGCACTGCAGAGCGGACGAACAGACGGATGGATGGACTGCGCCCCCAAACCCGCTCTGGGTCCTAGCAAATTAGGGACTGGGGGTCCTCAGCGAGTTACCCGTGCTGACCAGGTGACGGGACTGTAGCGGGGGAGGCAAAGGCCTGACCCCAGGCGAGCGATCAGGGAGGATCTCAGAAGCTAGGGAGCAGACCCAAGGCGGCCACCAAGAGAAAGCGGCTCAGAAATGGTAAAAGGGCTCTCGGGAGGCGGAGGACCGAGCTGGGAGAGGCAGAGTCTGTTTGGACAGGTGGGAACCTCTCACCCTTCAGGACCGAGAGAATGAAGCCCGCGGCTAGCTTCCTCATGGCCCCAGAAGATCCGCCCGCCTCTCTAAGATAAAAGCGGCCTCTAACCGGCCAAGCAGGGAGCCGCGAGGGCGCGGGCTAGCTGGCGGGGCGGAGGCAGAAGGTGCGGCGGGGACGTCACAAACAGCCCGGGGGCCCGGGGCGCCCGCGGGGCGGGGCTCGGAAACTGACGCGGGCTCTGCGGCCGACCCCGCGCCGGCCGACCCCGCGCCGGCCGACCCCGCGCCGCCGCACGGGCCTCGCGCGCCCTGCGCTCGCCGGGACACGGATGGCAAAGGGCGCCGCTCCTTGCGCGTCTTCAGCGGAGCAGGCCGTGTTGCTCGTTACGTGTTTACCTTAGTTAATTGCCACAGTAATCCCACAAGGTGGATAACAGATGAGGAAACTGGGTCTTAGGGAAGCAATTTGCCCCACAGGCAGTAAGACGTAGATGTGAGCACAGGCAGAGTTCTGGGGCAGGGCAGGCAGAGACGGAATGTACAAAACAAAGTTAAGGCTTATCTGGGTAGGAACTCGAGAGGACACTTCCATGCAAGAAACGGGCCAAAGAGGAAAACAAGAGCAGGGTTCAGATGAGGGAGACCTGGGGGTAGGGTGGCTCAGTGGTCTAATGATATGGTTTCATAGGGGGAGGTGAGGAAGACAATCCATTCAAGTATGGGAGGAAAATTCTTGTTTTTGTATCTGTTTCATGTTTAAAATAAGAAATCAAGCTAATATTTAGGACAGTAATACACATACATATAACACAAATACATCATTTATTGGAAATGAAGTGAAAGACGTTTTATGAAGATGCACAATTTACAAAGTTTCGGAGACCCCTGGTCTGAGGCATGCTCTCCGGCCGGCCACCTGGTCTTTCCCAAGTGGAGAAGTTGTGGGTTCTGGTGCAGAGGTGCCACTTCTGCTTTCATGTCCTGTCCTACTTCTGGCATGCCATCCTCCCGCCTCTTATCCAACCCAGAGGATGCAAAAAGAATGCTTAGCACATGTACTAAAATAGTGTCTCTACAATAAACACAGCAGGCCGACATGTATAGCTTTTATTTACCTACCCAGATTCCTTTTACATGTGAGTTATCTGTATTCCACCTTGCCCCCTCTCCCACTCACAAGGCCAGGATGAATCCCCTTGGCACAGAGGAAGGGGTGCCCCTTCAACTAGGGGTATCAGAGCCCAGATGATCTGGGAGATCCCCCACCATGAAAAAAGCAGGAAGAGAATGGAGAAGCAAGTTTATCACACCTAGCCCCCCACCAGGGAGGGGGAATGAAGAGCCCCCCCACAGGGGAGGGGGAATGAAGAATGGAGAAGCAGGTTTATCACACCTAGCCCCCATGCTACTGCCCCGGTCTTTAAATACAAAGCAAGGGGAATAAAGAGGACCCTCCCTCTGAAATACAGCACCAACCTCAGCATGGAGGCAAAAGGACAGTGGGCAAGACCACTTCCCTTTGAAGGGGGAGGGCTGAAGGAGAGCACATACCGTAAGTGGCTGCGGCACCCCTCCCTACCAGGGTTTGGACGCAGCCTCAGCACCAGGAGTGGGGAGAGGGGAGGAGAAGGGATGACAGGACTGCGCCATCCACATCTCCCTGAACCCCGGCCCCAGCACAGGCATTCCTCTGCCCACTAGCCCAGGTCAGGGGTCGTGGAAGAAACTGTGTTGGAATCCAAGGCCCTTATCTATTTCTTCTTCCGTTCTTGGGAGCAGCGTGGGCAAAACCTGAAAAGGAACGTGAAAGAGAAAGGGAGGGAGAAAGTGAACGGAAGGAAGAACGCCCTCTAACACTCAGCTTAGGGACCCTCCCACTCCTGCCACAACTCTCTCTCTTACCATTTCCCCCGAGGCTTGGTCGTCAGCCCCACACAGGCAAAGTGGAACCACTCGATGGAACACTGAAGAGGAACAAGATGGAAGAAGCAGAAGTCAGGCGCCAGGGTGTGGCAGAAGAAGGAAAGGAAGCCCCCACATATTCCTGAGGAATGTCTTTTATTCCATCCCTTTGGAGAGTTCTTGGAAGTCCCAAGGCCAACAAGCTCCAACCACCTTCCTTCTATTCTGAAGTCCCACTATTCAACCGTGAGTTTTTCCCTCTTGTATCCACTCTCTCTTCATTCCCCAAAGAACTCCCCATCCTGAGGCAAAACGGTTCTCACATCAGGGTTGTCACAGCCAATCATCTCTCCGTATGAGACCTGGTGACAAAGGCAATAGGTGGGTTCGTTGGGATCCACAGGCATATCCAACACATCAGAGGGGTGGACACTGCCAAAGGTCACTGAGGGCATCCCATACTCAGGACTTCTGCATGCCAAGAGGAAGAGAAAATGTCATCTGCGAGAAGGGAAGCTATGACCTGAGGCTTTCAGAGGTGGCAGAAGGAGATCCTGGTGGGGCAAATGATTTGTGGCTCCTCCTTTCTATCCAGCAGGTCCCAAAATGGTAAGAAGAGGTAGTCATTGGCTCAGAAGACACAGAAAATGGCAAGGGGCAGTGCAGGGTGGGAGTAGGGCACTGGGAGAGAAGAGTATGTCGTTTGGCAAAGGACACCCTGATACACTCACGTGCGCACAAGTTTTAACTTTTTCTGGGCAGCCTTGGGGGCTTCTTCATCTGAGTTTTTCCCTTTGGAACGAGCACGAGCAGCTTTCTTCTCCTTTTGGGTCCGGCCTTCTAGGAAAGAAGGGGAAAGCCAGAAGGCAGGAGACACAAAGATGGGTTAAGTCCTCTCTCCTTCCCTTCTTTCCAACCTGGTGCCCCTTGCCCCATAGACCTCTTCTCCCTTTGGATCCTCGCCCCACCTCTCACAGCCCCGCCCCCCTCCTCACTCTTTTTGCCTTTGCTAGAAGAGCTGTCATAGTCACTTGACTCAATCTGTTTCTCCTTCAGATCAGCCTCAAAACGGGCCAGGTCTGTGTCCAGTCGCCGAATGTGTTTGTCCACCTGGGTAGAAAGGAAGGAGAAGGGAGAGGTACAAGGCTGGTTCTGATCAAAGAAAATAGGCTGAGCCAGATTCTATGGATCTCCCAGACCCCAACACAGCTGAAGGAGGGGTCTAAGACCCTGAGGATTAGATGGGAGATAGGTGGGGAGCCATGAACAGGGCCATACCATCTCATAGGTCTGCATGGCAAGCTGCACCTTGTCGTCACCAAATTCCTTGCACTTGCCATAGGCTTCTTGGATCTGTTTGAGAAGGGCCAATTTTTCCTCGGAGCTCAAGCTGCGGGCGCTACTCATATACTCAGTGGCCAACTTGTCAATTTCAGCCTTCAGGTCTACAACAGAGACAGAGGCCTGGTCACAATGGCCCCTGAGTGGCTACGTGAAACACACTTCTTCCTCTTGTTCCTTGGACCTTTTCCATTGACCATGATAACCTTCCAACTAAAACGTACTGAACGTTCATTGGTACTGTGCCATGTACTCAAGTAATGCAACATATTGACAATATTTGCTTTAAAGGTGCCTTCAAGGTGCTGAAAACACTGCTATCATAGTTGGAACTTAAATTATTGAAACACAACGAGGGGTCCTTTGCACACCACATTAATAAGAAGTATATTTTTGTTGATGTCTGAAGATGCTTCTTTGTAGGGCTTGCTGCTTCCTGACCCATGAATTTTGTCTCAAAAGCTGCCTTGTTTCTTGTCTCAAAAACATCCCACACCATCACTGACTGCTGCAAACCAGGCTGGGTCACCTGCTGCTGCTGGCTTCCAAGTGTGTACATCTGTATCGTGCAATTTTAAATTAGGTCCTATTTCATCCATGTAGTAGTTGTTCTGCTTACCTTACTGCCCACTCTATTTTGCTCATCATTTGCAACTTGCTTATATTTTCCATCACTTTTTTCCTGTTCATCTTAGATACTGCTTCAAACATTTTAATATTGGAAGATTGGTGATGTTCCAGGACACTAAGACTGTAGACATCTATTGCCTAACATTTGGTAGGGCTCATAAAAATGTCGACGGAAAGAGACAAAAGTCTGACTCTAACATAGTGCAGCAACAGATAACCGGGGGATATGCAAACACACTGTTTATGCTCCACTTCAGTCCAGGTCCTTGGAAGAAGCTGAAAAAGCACATAGTTCCATAATCTCCAACTGGTCTTTCTGCGTGTGAACTCAAGAATTAGGACGATATAAGAAAGCAAGCAAGCTGGTTCTCACCATTTGGCAAGCACTTCTTAGGGAGTCACGCTCAGGATTTTAGATGATGTTCATCTTTTCATGAGTAAACTTACCCAGAGCAACTTAAGACACAGCTTCATGCATGCCAACACCAGCCTGTTACTTCCTTAAGCATGGCTACATAGGATGGAAGATAAGATATATATCCTTCAGTGGGTATAGGGATAGGTCCAACAGACATCTTTGATCTTGAAGAGACCAACCTGACCACTGTAGAATAGCCTCCCTCAGGCTCCAAGAGAATGCCCCAATGCAGCCAATTTGCCCAATGTCCAGTGCTGAAGACGGTACCAAATGCTTCTGTAAGCTTGAAGAACGCAGTGTAGAGATCCGGATTTTCATTACTGCTTTTCTTTCTTTCTCTTTTTATGAACTTATACAGCAAAGCTCCCGTCTACCAACGTAAGTTGCAGTCTAAAGCCACACTGTGAATTTTGTGATAGTAACATTAACAACGCAGTGAAGTAGAAACATTCTAGTCATCCTATAAATACATCAAACATGGAGAGCAGAAATAACTCTAGAGTTTACTTTGGTTTCTTGAATTCTTCTTGAGGAAGGTGTAAAGAACATAAAATCTTTGAATTCTTGAGGCATTGTTTCAATACTCCATTTGTTATGGAAAAGCTAATACAGAAATGAGGATCATTATCTTCTTTTAAGAATTGCAAGAGAGTAAAAAAAGAGAGAGAGAAGCTGCAGTTCTCCAGATCACACCAGATGATATGGTAGCACCATGCAGAAAAATAAATGATTACACAAACTCATTACACACAGGAACTCCTTACTCTGTACGTACCCTCTGTTCTTTGGTCTAAGTCCCTCATGAGCTGAAAGTTTCTCTGTAATTC